TAGGTATATAGATATACGTATACATACACACACACAAACACACACACACACATATATATATATCATACATATATATATATATATAAACACACACATTACATATATATACACAAACACACACACACACACATATATATATATATATATACAATATATATATATATATACAATATATATATATATACATAATATATAATTTTATATAAACATACATATATATATATAAATACAAATGCATATATATACATATATATATATATATATACATATTTATATATGGGTGTATGTGAATGAAAATATATACATGTGTGTGTGTGTGCGTAACATAAATATATATATATATAGATATAGACATAGTCAGGTATATATATACGTATATATATATATATATATATATATCTAAATATATATATATATATATATATATATATATATACATACATACATACATACATACACACATATATATTAATTTGCATGAGTATATACATATATTTATATATATAAATATACACACACACACGCATATATATATATATATATATATATATATGTGTGTGTGTGTGTATAAATGCACATGCATATTTATAATATATACATCTAATGTTATGTATGTATAAACATATAAATATAGATATATATATATATATATATATATAATGTATATATATACATACTTATATATATATATATATATATATAATCATATATATCTACCTATATATATATATATATATGTGTTTTATATAGTGTTGTATTTGTATATGTTATAAGTAGGTATGTATTTATTTATGGATGTTTGTATATATATATATATATATATATATATGCGTATACATGCATAAGTAGATAATTACATATACATTATATATATTTATACTTTTTTTGGGTGTGCGTGTGTTTGTGTATGTATGTGTGCGTGTGTGTGTGCGTATGTGTGTGCGGGTGCGTGTGTGTGGGTGCGTGTGTGTATGTGTACGGTACGTAGCTCCAACAAGCATTCTGGTATATTATGTTGGATTTGACCATGCAATCGAAGATTAGAAGTGCTCGCATGTAGAAATCTCTATCATATACTTCTGGCAAGTCTATATATAGTTAAGACTCAAATATGTTTGCAGACACGATGGATAATTCTCTAACATATAAAGCATGCCCATGACTCTTCGAACTGAACAGTACCGCAATAAAACTATGCAAGATCAATTGCGTTATGATCGTCCGTATTTGATGCACAAAATCGAATTAAGCTGACATACCTGAGACGCTCTCACAATTTTCTCCAACAAAGCCAAGAGGTATGCCTTGTTCTCCTCTCTATTGTCAAATCGGACTGAAGTTAGTTTCAATACTTTCTTGTCCTTGTTGTACCTCGGACCAGTTAGTGCAGCCATAGTGGCGATACCCACTTCTGTCAACGGCAAATCAGCTGCTCGCACCTAAGTTCGATTCAAAGTTACGAATAAAGATTATGAGCTGAAACACCATTTTTTTATATAGCAATTTGGATGCAGCTTTATTTCGCAATTTACTATTGCTAGCACCATTTACCTATTGTAGGGACATATACTCCCTGTACAACAATTCTAGAAGCTATATGTGATGACGAACGCGAATATTCTATTTGGCTGTAGTTGAGTGCGTCGAGACTCACATCGGATAGGATTCATTCAACCGCCCATGCTCGTGGACGTTATGTAGGCACGGTTTTAATGCTTCAAATACGCTTGAAGCATTTGTCACACAGTAAGCCTGGCAGATCTCAGACAAAGAGGCTATGATCTGATTGATATACCGCACCATGCACAGGAACGCACACACAAAAGTACATGTGTCTCCAAGTGCACCTTACACGCAACTAAGATATTGATCATATAAAGACAATTTACACGCTCTAAATTCAGGTCTGCCCTATATAATGAATTGTCGCATACCTCGAGAACGACTTTCCTTTCGACCTTGTGAGTCTCCTTCGCTGCGCTTATATTATTCCTATAGGAAATTCGCACCACATTCTCAATTGCTGGCAGTTTCCATGGTGTGATGAAGTCTGGATACAACCGGTTAGAATGCTGCAATAGTTAGTCCTAAAAATTTATAATACTCTTCATACGAGTGCTTAAGTATATAAATGCCAACCAGAAAGAAGGTTGTCGAACGTATACACAATATTGCAAATTCAATTCGCAACAGAACAGTCGGAAAAACCTGAACAAGATAATCTGTGAGACCAGCACACCCCACCCCCGCCCCCCCCCTTAAAAAAAACAGAGGAAGAACGAATTGTAATTCAACTGTAGCCAACGCGCTCTACCTGTCGGGCTTAACACTCGTGAAGAGCGCGACAATACTGAGAGAAGGGGAAAAAACATACCCTTTGATCGCTCAGCAAATCGCGTTATGTGCGCGTGTGATACAAATCCCATGTCAGGTCTCTGTGAAGTATACAAGTATGTCATGTCAGATAAGTAGAGAATATTCCGGCACTTGGCCAATATACTTCAACGATCGCGTGTTCAGATTACCTAAAGACAATCATAGCCGGAGGCCCATAGAAATGAAGCAAGTTTGCTTTAGCAAAAGTGCTCATTGTTCGACGATATAATATATACAGATATATATATGTATATATATATATATATACATATATACATAAATATAAATATATACATATATATATATATATATATATATATATATATATATATATATATATATATATATTTATAAATATATACATATATACATATATATATATATATATATATATGTACATATATATACAACTATACATACATACACAAGCATATATATCTATATATATCTATATATATACATATATATAAATGCGTTTGTTCCTGTTGAAGTATACCATCATATACATATATATATATATATATATATATATATATATATACTATACTATAATATATATTGTATAATATATATATATATATATATATGTGTGTGTGTGTGTGTGTGGGCTATATACTATATATATATGAATATATATATATATGCGCGTGTGCGTCCGTGTATATATATATGTGTGTGTGTGTATGTGTGTGTGTGCGTGAGAGAGAGTGCGTGAGTGAGGGAGTATAAATATATATTTGTATATATATAAATGTATACATACACACACACACACACACATTCATACATATATATATATACGTTACAAGCCACTTACACCTTGAAAAAGCGTACCTTGAGTTTATCCATATCTGCATACAGCATTTCTGCCTCCACACTGGGCACATCGATAACGATGGAATCGTTATCGTCGTCGTCGTGGTCACCCAGCCTCACGAAATGACTGCGTTTATACATTTCTTTCTTGATTGCTGCCTCTGGGTCTGTAGCATTTTGAAAATCAGGAAGTTCTGTGGGCTTATCGCTTTCCGCATCAAAAATCAGCTTTCCTTTGCTATTTATAACAGTCGCTACACGCCCAAATGACTCCCAATCATTCTTGTCGACATCCAACTTCTCGTCCAACTTTTCCCGTATGAGTGGATCCTCAAAGGTACCGACATTCTTCCTGACTGTATCGATTCGAGCTGCGTCATATCTCTCTGGCGTAATACCTTTCGATGTTCTATCAATTTTGTTTTTATACAGTCTACCTCTCCGTCCCAATACAGTGCTTGTTGCATGGTATGTTCGAGTGTGTAGTAGCTGCAGTGGCATAGGCGACCTACAGGTGTGCGCACACCACGGCCTCATCGTCCTAGAAAACCCATTTATAAGCATTTTTTAGGAGTGCTTCGTATACTCACTTGTCTGATTAAGAAGCATAAGACACTTAGCGGATTCGTTGACCTTGAAGACAAGCTGCGGGATGTTATTCGGTACCTTGTCGCGATTCAATATATTTATGTATCTTATTTTATGTTCCTCCCTCTGTTGTATATTTTTCTTCTCTGTTTCCTGTGTGTTGTATTTATATTTTAGAAGGCCATGTCTGTGTGTTTATTTACTTTTTAATACACACGATTGTTCAATTTTCGGAGAAAAAAACGAGAAAAAATATACAATACACGTGCCGGCTCACGGCTGCCGCTAATCATGATAATATATCCACTCTATATTTCAATGAAAACGGTTATTGTTTCACCTATACCTGAACGAATAAGCCATACACACATTCTCGTACCTTAACATATAGGCGCCTACAAGCATGAAAATCAAAACCATCTCCCGCAAGGAGGAGAACTATACACGATCAGATAAATCAGAAATATATAGAGTACAGCGTAACTATGATCCTGCTCAGCATCCGTTCGAAAAGGCCCGTGAGTATACTCGGGCTATGAACGCGACGAAAATGGAACGCATGTTTGCCAAACCATTCATCGCGTCTTTAGATGGGCATAGAGATGGTGTGTATTGTATGGCGAAACACCCTACATTGCTAACCAGTTTAATTAGTGGAGCATGTGATGGAGAAATCAAGGTATGGGATTTAGGTGTGCTGAAAGAAGACATCACAATCGAAGCTCACAGGGGGTACGTAAGGGGGTTGACTATCGCACCGTATGGTGAGAGTTTTATGAGTGTGGGGGATGACAAGACTATCAAACAGTGGGATCTGGAGAGCATGCTGCGCAATGGCAGTCAAAATGACATGCCTAGTGAACTCGGGGTGGGCTTAGACGAGTTTGAGGCGACCCCAAAATATAGATATACGCCCAAGAATGTCTGGTTGGGAGTGCACGCATTCTCCGGGGTGGATCATCACAGACGCAAGGGAGTTTTTGCCACCTCTGGTGCGGAGGTGGTGGAGGTGTGGGACCAGCACAGGAGTGAACCTATCCACGAGTTCAAGTGGGGCGTAGACAGCGTTACCACCGTCAAATTCAATCCCGTTGAAGTGGACGTGTTTGCGAGTTGTGCGACGGATAGGAGTGTGGTGTTGTACGATTTGAGATCGGGGTCGAGTTTACAAAAACTTATTCTGGGTATGAGGTCGAACGCAGTATGCTGGAATCCTATGGAGGCGTTCAATTTTACTGTTGCCAATGAGGATCACAATCTGTACACTTTCGATATGCGCAAGATGGACAAGGTATGTGCTTTTCCTTTGATCATGCCATGAGCATATATCCAATTAGTGAGTTAAAAAATCGTGTACGTGGCGTAATACGCGCACATGTGTTTGCCCATAGGCAGGTATTGTTTGCCCATAGGCAGGTATTGCTTGCTCATTGGCAGATATAAATATCAATCTCTGTACAAGTACATGTTTGTATGCCCTGAGCACATATATGTGTACGTATTTATTTCCTTAATTGCACGCAATCCGGATCTGATTCAATTAGTCTACATACAAAGGTTTTTGAATCAATGTAAGCATGTGGTATAGCGATGTTGGCCGCTTTATTATTTTGCATTTTGGAGACATAAAGGTTCTTGTGATACTCGCAACAATACATGTGCAAGTTTATATTTAGATATATATATATGTGTGTGTGTGTGTGTGTATGTTCTATATGCCGAGATGTACTATAGTACATCTCGGCAGCTATGATGAGAAGTTCATATAAATATGCTCATATATACTCGCCAAGCCATACATGTACAAAAACATGCACATGTATGCTCAACGTCAAGTGCTCAAAATATATGCATTTTTTTTACGCAGTACATACTTGTCATGTGAATTTTTGTCCGAATAGTTCAGTGTTTTTGAAAGGTGTATATCATATGAAGAGTAGGAATACAAGGTGCATTCATGTGGCCTTGTATGTAAGTATATGCATATATATATATATCTACATGTTCATATTAATATACATATACCCATCATTTTTTTATAATATATACTTCTATATACATACATAAATATATATATATATATATATAATATTCTAAACGCGTATATCTCAATTCAAATATCTCGCCCCGGGAATTGAGAGCAGAGGCAGCGCTGTTTGAGTGATACATACAAATTAAATGTGTGGCTTACTTTAGTGGAAACTCTGACTATATTCGAATCGTTTTTAGTTACGACGTTGCATATCCGTGATATCCGTGAAACTTTTTGTATGTGACGGATATATACAAATGTTTTTTTAGTTGATTAATACGTACGCTGTGTACGTCAGAAGTGAATACTTTGTATGTCGTAAAGAAATAACAAACTGGCACACCCTACACTGCTGACATCAAAGCACCGTTGCGACATATATATACATTTAAAAATTCTCGCATAGTGTTCATATGTAGGCTTATACAGATCTATATTACATATTTCAATATCGTCGCGTGCACATTCATTTCTAATGTATCCACAATGCATTTGTATGCGTGATGTATTTTAGGGGCAGCGACGTGAAGCGTAAACATTTATATATTTATATCTATATATATGTCAAGTTATATATCCTCTTACGAGGATTTAATCAAGTATGTACGAAAGTAGTGTTTGCACACAGTTCTCTATATTGAAATTCCCCGCCCTTCAATCTGAAGGTTGCGCTCGAAATTATGTACCATACACATGCATCAACTTGACGTATTGTTTGTATTTCATGTCAAGACGTATGTATATTATCAATTATTTCGACTGTCTATCTATCGCTCCTTATAAATCGGTTTCACCTGTGATTTTTATCCTGATTATGTCCGGTATGTTATGTACTGTAGTAAATCCATGTGTTTGCGGATTCTTTGCAGTCCTTGTGCTGATAAATTGGTGTAAATATGTATTTATAGCACGATTACGTGAGTGTCAGTTATTCCTATGCAAACAGTGTTTGGTCTTCCACTTTGAATTGTATCTGCATAACTATGTGTATATACTGTCGTGTACTCGGAATATGCTCTCGACAACTATGGAAACCTACATATTTACTTATTTGGGGCTATCATAGTTATATCTGCATAATTATGTGTATACTTTTGTGTATTCGGAAAATGCGTTCGACAGCTATGAAAACCTACATATTTACTTATTTGGGACTATCATCGAGTTATATCTGCATAACTATATGTATATACTTTTGTGTACTCGGAATATGCGTTCAACAGCTATGGTAATCTACATACTTCTTTGGGACTATCGTCATGGTTTAATAAATATGTCGATAGATCTGTGAAAAAAGTCAAGACTACATAGAATGATATATCCTCGAGTGGGTAAATACCGCATATCTTCTTCATACGAATGTCGTTCAGTTGTCTAACTGATCGTTCTTTCTGACATTCATCATAACGCAGGCCCTAAATGTACACAAAGACCATGTGTCTGCAGTACTGGCGGTGGATTACTCGCCAACGGGAAGGGAGCTGGTCAGTGGTGGCTACGATAAATCCTTGCGAATCTTCGGTAACAATCAAGGACACAGCCGCGAAGTAAGCACTCGAACAAAACTTTTGTGTGCTAACGATCCTCTACTGTATCAGCTGTCGGTCTTTTGATTGCAATATCCGGTTTGAATGGCCTATCTTTTCGATTTGTTACAACTTGCAGTCACATAAGTTGATCTACGAGTATAAACAGTACTTTTTACTATTGCCCTTCGCGTGCCCCCCTCTCCCCGCCCTCTCTATCAGAATCATGCACATCATCTGTGTCTCACTCACTCTTGCCCAATTTATTACAACTTGTCAATGTACGTAGGTGTACCATACGAAGCGAATGCAGCGCGTGTTCTCCGTCTTGTTCAGTCAGGACGCGAAATATGTACTCAGTGGTTCAGACGAGACAAATATACGTGTTTGGAAAGCAAACGCATCAGAAAAGATGGGTCCCATGGCGCCGCGACAAAGGGTAGCTGTCGAATATGCTAACGAGCTGAAGGAACGATTTCAACACCATCCCGAAATCAAACGTATTGCGAGGTGTGTGTGACGTTTTGAATCAACACTGCCGCAGTCTTTGGCGGTGATGTCTGACTGACATCTCAAGTCTTTCACAATTGTACTTATGCTTGCACGGATTTTCAGCGTAAAACATAACCACAGATTCTAAAGCTAGATGCTAGATAGTGAGCTTAAACGCGTACGTTCTGTGCAGTTTAATTTATTCTTTAGCGTTTTCCTCCTTGAATCTGTTTTGACCTTGATTCTAACTCTGCCTAATTTATGTGTACATGAAACTTGCTAACGTTTTGAAAATTTGACACAAAATTTACAGGCATCGACACGTTCCGAAGGCTATTCGCTCTGCTGCTGCGAAGAAACGAATCATTACAGAATCAGAGAGGAGGAAGAAAAACAACAAACGAGCTCATAGCAAACCCGGAACGATTAAGGATGTTCCTGAGAGGAAAAAGCACGTGGTTGCCACCCAAGATTGAATCAACTAGATTGTAAGATAGCTTTCAGATGACAAACCGAAGTTGGCTGGAAAGCTGGTGATTTGTTAGACCGTTGAGGAACGAAGAAGACATGGCTTACTCGTTTGAGACATCATGGCTTTGAAGCCTTTCGATTATACAAGTCAATCAACAACGACTAATGAGAATCGGAATTTCGAAGTCATAAAGGGTACGGTGGAGCGTCCCCACTTCGGCAATACGAAATCATGTAAAGGAATTTGCGTGCTACAAGGTGTTCCCCCTTCCATTCTGCGCCGCGAGTTCGGTTCCGTCTATTTGAAGATAACAAAAGTCGTTTACTATTTATTATACTTTAGCACCAAGCTCCGACCTACTTAAACGCCTTCTTTATTCTTGTAATAAACACAAGAATGCAACGTCACTTGAGTTTTACACGCGCTGCCGAGATACAGGGGTGTAACTGTCGTCACCCGTGATATAACAGAAAAAAATGTAATGAAATAAATTGAAACTTGAACGACTTTAATGTATTGCATTTGAAGGTGCGTGTATACGGATATCGGCGAGAGAAATGTCGTCTTGCGACGCTGCTGCGATAGAGTGAACAAAACTTTAATAATCCTATACACGGTTATAACGCGAGGAGAAGAAAATGTTGTCCGTGTTCCTCGCTGGCTTCTGCGAGTCGAAACACTCTCGCACGGAGCATAGCACAAGACGCTATATGAGGGTGCATCGGAGCCTCTTGGAGTTCCTTTCGTTCATTTACTTTCAACGATGCTCGAAAACAAATATAACTATGAAGCGGGAGAGTTTCGAGAAACAAAATAGGAAGGGCGTGTGTGTAAGTTTATGCTCATCAGAC